TTTTGTCAACATCAAGTCTCTCTTGAACCTGTTCTTTAACATACATGTCCTCGGCAGAATCGGATTTCCAACGGCTATGGAGTTTCAACAGTCGCTCTCTTGATGGATTTTTCCTCAATTTAGTTTCGATGGATGCGGCACCCCTAGAACTAAAGCTATGCAAAGCGTAAAGACGTTGATCATATCCCAACTCATCCGAGTTCCTCTTCATCATGTCCCATGAAGGACGTGTAAGAAACTTTTTTATCACATAAACTGTGGTGCCGTTTGACCCACCGGACACCTGATTCATTATTCACGGTTGCGTTTCGTGAACGTTCCGGTACTACCGGAACATTCGGGCAATATTCATAGATCTTAATTAAGGGAATGATTGTGCAGTCTTAGTTCAAAACTTATTTAATTTACCTTGTTCCCCAATATTTTCATTGTTTAAGTTCAAATTTTTTAGAGCAAAATCTCGATTTTGATTGAAAACAGATCAGCTTTTCGGGTCCGTAAAGTTACAGGAGCTCTCGAGGAAAAGGGGCTCAAGGCGACACCAGACTTGTGTCGTATTTATCGAACATCTAATCTTAATAACCGGCTTGGATTTTCTCATCATATAGGAACATTCAGCGGCGCGCACTTCATATTTCAAGCCACTGGCCGAATCTTTGCATAATGCCCTTAAAGAAGTTTACCAGGACAAACCAATGGGTCAAAATCAAAATTGACGCTGGAGCTGGGACAGGGCTGGTTGGAGTTGAGCTCAAGAAACTCGGATACACCAACCTATGTGTTCTGGATATCTCAACTGAGATGTTAAGGGAAGCAAAGAAGAAAGGGGTCTATACTGAGTTCATCTGCACGTCTTTGAACGGGCAGTCGATACCTCAGATTAAATCAGGGCAATTCGATGCTTTGACTTGTGGTGGGGTGTGGTGCTGCTTTCGTGGAGATGATAAGAATGGTTAAAACTGGTAGGTGTTTCTCAGGAGTTTACCGAGGCACAGATGTATTTGACCTTCCCATGTCCGTGGGGAGTCTGTTCTGTGACTAATTGTTGGACTTAACTCTAAAGAATCATTTGGTCGCGGTTCCAAATCATTTGTGTTTGAAGAAATTTGTTCACAATGTTTTGAATATTTTATGCGCCATATGAAAAAAAAAGACAACAACTACAACAAAAACGGACACTAGCCTTTAAACATCATACTTTGACAAAGCTTTGAGGAAAATTAATCATAAACATTTCAATTTCCGAATAAACAAATACACCCAGAAAAAATATCTCCAGTGAAGGCAATGCCTTTAGTTAAAAATTCCTCTATTTTGGAAATTCCCTAGTTTTTCTTTGTGATTGTTGTCATGGTTATTATAATCGATTCTGTGATTTGGTGGATTTAGCTGAGAGGATTTAGTGCGATTGGCTGCTTCAACAGTCCGATTACAGGTATTCGATTACAGCTGTCCTATTGCAGCCAACTATCTGATTACAACTTTACAGAAATATGCATGATAAATGAAGCTGCAAATGCACCAATAACATTTGAGGAATATGTGATGGTTCCTTCATCCTAAGATAAAGTAGTCCTGTAGGCTTGGAGGCTTATCAGGAGGTTAAATTCTTACCTGTCGCTGTAAAGGTAAATGGATATCCCATTCTGAAAGCAAAGAACAGAATGATGTATAAACTGGAATTTTGGAATGTATAATAAAGTATAATTAATTAGGTCGTCAATCAGTAGTCAGTCGACAGAGACGAGCACGATTTGGCTCTTGTACATAGAGCTGTACGATTAACTGACGGGTGGGAGTTCAAAACCGGTTAGGCTTAAACGAAGAGAAAAATATTTCAACCAGCATACCTAGATGATAAAGTATTTACACGGGAGTTTTTCAGCTTAATAATCTTAATGATCTAATAAATATTCGAGTTGATGTAGGCAAGGTGGTTCTTAATTGAAATAATATCTTAAGTGTTGGAGAAACACTCAAAAAAATCCACAACCATCCACACACGTAAAGGTTTTCAGTTAGGAAAGCAATATTGCATGATTTAGCCTTCCTGATCCATTCACCCACACTCCCAGACAGATTTTTCGGGACACCTACAACTACCGCGCCTGTCTCAATGTTGGTCTGCAAGATGGTTATGCAAAAATTGGTAATTATGAAAAATGATAAGAGAGAGAGAGGGGCGAAAGAAAATCACAAAAGTTTCTTTCTGTCTTGTTTTGCTGCTAAAGTGATCGGTTGTCGATTTTGAAATTGCTAGCATTTATCTGAACACGTTTTCTGATCTTTCTTGTACTCAGGGAATAAAATGTCACACGATAGCTCATACTTTACAGCTTTACGGTGTCGAACGAAGAAAACCCGAAATTAGAAATGGCTCTATTTACAAATCTTTCTTAAGGTTTAGGGGTCTTTCGTCTTTCGGAGGTAAACTGTAATACCCCTTCTTATTTTGGATTTTTATGGTGGAAGTCAAGTAAAAACCAAGGGTTGTGTTAGATTTGTGCTTTGATAACAGGTTTTAAGTTTGTGTTGAGTTGTTTAGTGGACGAGAAGTTTCTTCTCCGTATTGACCCAAATTTCTCGAGGCCTGGTACTTACCAGTTCCACCTTAAAAGCTTTTTTCTCTGCTGTGTTTACATCCAAGAAAAAAGTATCAATAGTTTCGAAATTAGTACAATGAAAAATATCAAGAAACGGAACGCGAGTCGTAAAAAAAAAATTTGAAATGGCTGCGAGCTCGCCGCCCACCGGCACGCGCAAAAACGTAAGTACAACATCAGGGCAATGTCGTTTGAACAGTTTGATTTATTTCATGAAATTTCTTTAGTTTTAACATCAAAATATCACAACAGCATTATAACTGACGTTTAAAGTCAGCTAAAACAATGATTTTCTATTATGGCCTAGATGAGTTGAACTTAATGGCTATGGTACATGTTTCTTAGTTCTTCGAAACTTTGTAAAAGAACATCCAGCATTCACTGGGCAGGTCTTCGGCTGCGTAGAAAGGTGAAGACGCTTTGGACATGCACATCCATTCGCCAGCTTTCTCCAGCTCCGTCATCATCTCTTGATAGTGTTCTAATTCCTCCTTTATTATGTTGAAACAGAGGACGCCATCTGCAAAGAAGTTAACATCGGAATTTAGTGCGGATCTTAACATGGGAAAGTTCCATCCTTTTTCCTATTTGTCCATGTATTTATTAGATTTAAC